ACACACACACAGACAACATCTCGTCAATATGCGTTTTTTGCATTGCATTGCTGCAAAAAACGCATAAAAACGAAGTGCAAGAAAATGAAATTTACCGAACGCCAATGAACTGAGCAACTTCACCCGGTGCCCTTGATTCGGACTCGAGTTTCAGCGAATTAACATGATTTATTGAAAGAACAGTGGCAGCCACATAGATAGGCAGTCCGAGTGCACCTACCACAAGTATCAAAAAAGCCAAAACACACAAATCCAAATGATAACCGCAACCCTACAAAGACGCAGCATTTTATGAAAGAGAGATTCCAAATTCTGTAAGAAAGTGTGACGATGTGCTTGCTGACCTCACGCTAAAGGTCGAGAATTCTACTCTGCCAGTGGAACAACCAAATCCTTTACAACTGTTCATTCATCCGAAATTGGTACTGGCGCATTTCAGAGGGTCAAACCCGCCATAGTTTTTCAGCACAGTAAGTTAACACACTCTAGGAGTGACAGAAATCAACGAATTAATCGATTTCACAAAAGTACGACAAAAATTTAACAGTCCTACGAATATTTTGTTGATTCGAACCAAACGGTGGTTTTGTCGTCTCAAACTGAGCGACGCTTTCGTCGATTTAGACAAACGATTGTTTTATCGTTTCAAACTGAACGGTAATGTAGGTAGATTCAGGCTGAACGGCGGTTTAGTCGTTTCAAACGGGAAGAGGGGATTTCGCCGCTTCGAACTGAGCGGTGGTTTTGCCAACTTAGAAGAACGGCGGTTTTGTCGTCTCAAATTAAACGGTAATGCCGTCGATTTAAATTGAACGGTGGTGTGGTTGATTCAGGCTGAGCGGTGGTTTTGTCTGTTCAAAATGTACTGTGGTTTTGCCAATCCAAATTGAACGATGGTTTTGCGGGTTTGGATGAATGACGGTTTTATTGTTTCAAATGAACGGTGTCTGGACGATTAGGACTGGACAGTGTTTTCAAACCAATTTGAAGTTTTGTCGCTTCAAATTGAACGACGATTTTGAATCTTGCTTTTAAGCAATTCTCGAAAAAGGTAACGTCGATACCTCGGTTGGCGGTGACTATTGTTGTCACGCGCCACCGAAAGCTACTTCCGCTTTTCAGAGCATTCTTGACATTCAACTCCATTTCATAGTATAAGTGAGCATGGCATCCAAAGAAAGTCAGAAGTCAAACAGTTTCTTCTTAGCCCGCTCTGTATAAAAGCCGGAGGCATTCGAGAAGTAATTCAAGTGGTACCAAATGTCAATAGCAACCATCTGCTGGCAAGACTGTTCATGGCTCCCTTCTTTTGAGTTTGGGACCAAGTTAAAACTGATTTTGAGTCCACAGTATGTGCCATTCCCAAACGAACAAACGAATCACTGACAGACTGGCTGTCTCACTGGTGGAGTTGAATCCTCGAGTTTCAGCACAATCGTAGTGCTTGTAACTATCAATATAACGCGTTCCAGTCCGTCCCCTTGAAAAAATAGAAAACGAACCTTTTTGAGCTTATTTTCCTTTCGGTTCACTATAACAGTGGTAATCTGTTGGTCCATAAAGATTAGGATACATGCAAGAAGAGCTGGTATGAATGCGACAAGTGCTGACCAAACAGGATTGCCATTGAACGGCGGAATCCACCATCCACGACCTTCCCAAGTTGGCTGCGATGCAATCAAATAGTTTCCAGCAAGAAAGAGGCAAGTGCAAGAAAAGAGGACGTGCATTTTTGCGGTAAATTATCGCGGACACTCGACACAACTGGATGCCACAACAATATTAAAGTTGTCTGTTTTTAAGCTACAAAAATTGTGAAATCTTTGAAGAAAATGAAAAATCTCATTGTGCAGTGAATCAGAATAGCTAAACAAATTCACACGCACAAACAGAGACCTCTGGCCGATGGTAAGCTAAATCATCCCCTTTTACTCTAGAAAGCAGCATAAAACTAGTTTTGCAACAATATAAAACTTAAGAAAAGTCAAAAAAAAAAGATGTAAAGAGCAAACGACGTATTCTAAGGACCCGCTACCAGAATTCAGGTTCTGAGATTTCATCTAAAAGGCTCTTTTCCCATGGGCACAATCCCCAGACGGAAATTGCTTATACCGGAGATCTTGAGGCCTTGATAACGGTTAAAAAACACTTAGCGGAGATCCGCTATGATGATACCTCGAATCCCAATGCTAATGAAGTCAGAAGTCTCTAAAAGCAACTTCGTTATTTGCTTAAGGTAACATTCATCTTTATCTCTCCCAAAGCTTCAGGGGTCTAAGATTTCACTCTGACTTCGTTTTGATCTTGTTTTCTTCTAATTGTCGCTCTTTCTGGTTGGATTTGCCATATTCGTTTGTACTGTCGAAACACTGTTTCGTGTAAACAATTCGATAATCACTAATATTGTCGCATCATTTTTTAAGTGTTTTTTGCATCTATGCAATGCAAAAAAACACATTATTGAGGAATTCTCCCTTTGTGTGGATGTACGCGGATATGCGTTTGTGCCGAGTTACAAAAGCTACAAAGCTGAAATGCTGCCAACTCAATCTATACGCATGTACGGGCCCTTATTTCAAAACGGATGCTTATGTCCACGTGATACTCACATACGGACACATGAAAATTTTTGGCAGACAAGTTGCTGACTTGGGATCTGGAGGAGCTAGGAAGCTGAAATTTTAAGGGAATGTTTCCTGTTCACTTAGAACCCAAGACTTCATATTCAGTCACCAGATGTGCCTGGCTGTCACGTATGGCCCCGTGAAAACTTTTGGCGGATAAATTCCTAATTCGGAAACCGGGAAAACAAGAAAGCTAAAATTTTGAGAGAAAGTTTTGGCAGCCGTGGTGGCCAGTGTCAATTCTTTTAGCTAGAAGGATCTGTAGGAAAAACCAGGGCTGTCAGCAATAAAAGCCTGCGGGGAACTGTGCAAAAAACCCGCCTTCACACTAGCAGTCGATGCGCTGGCCAATTATTTGTCGTTGAGCAGTCTTGTGTGAGTGATTTGCGTGCATACCGGAAGCAGAAAGTTGTAAAGTTCAGCAAGCTCCTTATTTTTTCGATTCCCGCAAATCATCCGATACATATATTTCACAAAACATTTACTCAATATGGATTTTATATTTCCATAAATATGCAAAAAGCTTGAAAACAGACTGCCAGACATGCAGGTACAAACACAATCTTCCCATAATGCATTTGTTTTATACAAAAACAAAAGCTGCGTATTTTAGCATAGTTTATTTCAAAAATCTGCTTAAGGGGGTTTGTTGCAGAATGTATCATTTTCTGTTTCTCACAGAAAAGAGCGAACAGACCGAGTAGCACCTATATCAAAAACATCTGCATTGCTATTCGCATTTGAGAGAAATGCTCCTCAAGCGCACAACAAGTTTTTTTTTCTTTTTTTGCTTTCATAGCAAATCCATAAGAATTCAGGGTTTGCGTTCATGATCAAAGGGGAAGTGAAATTACCCGGAAAGAAGATGGCACATTCAGTTTGGGCGTATTGATGCCAACAAACATATCGATTGAAGTCATGATCACAATTGATATCATAACCGCGAAATCACTAAAGATCTGTCGAATTCGTGACGGAAAATAGCAGCTGTTGCGCATTTTCTGGAAGAAAAACTCCACGATTACGCCATACTGCCTGTTCATCAAAGCATTTAAAATCACGGAAATTATCACGAATCTAGAGATGCATGACTTGTCATAAAGGCACCACGGTGGCCCAGGAGTGACAATGTTTGTAATGAGATGGTGGTACTCAACACACACAAAAAATATCTCGAAATGACTAAAATTTCATCAGAGCGCTTCTTCTGCCGGGAGAACTATCAAGCAAGAAATTCTCTCAAGAGACGAAACGAACACTAGGACCGTCAGCAAGCCGATCAACAGGCGATGCAGTGCACTGGTCAAAGCAACTAGGTCAGCTGCTTAGTTGGAGAACAACGCTCAAACTGCAGTTGATCAGAGGGTATCAGAAATTAATAACAACCCTCAATGATCTCCAATAGAAACAGAATAACTGCCCAAAATCCATGGAAAGTTTCTCAAAAATCTGGATCCTGAAGAATTTAGAGCAATTAACTGAAAGAAAAATTTCTAAATTCCACCCCAAAATTCTCTAATTTTTGCCAGCCAAGACTATGAATGCAGTCTGACTGAATCCTTTCCTTCTTTGGTTTTTGCTAATTTAAAAGTACCTTGAATGTGATTGCCAGCGCGAAAGTTCCAAGCATCAGCACTAGTGACATGAGCAATTTATCATACAACACAAAACACCCTTCACCTTCCAGAGTACCATACAAACTTCTGCAACGTTCCAGTCCGACCTGCAAAATGGAAAACCTGAATTGCTTGCACAAATCCCTTGTTTCGAGATTGGATTCCGAATTTCGAAAGCTATAATTTCTAAAATTCCGGCAAATAATCATCAAAACCAAGGACGGGGCTTGGATTACCACTATAGAACCCTCGATGTTACTGAAATGAAACCAAACTTCAAACAGGTGGTCCAAGCCCTCCTGTCTTTGGTTACCTAATTTTCCTTATCAAATACACTGAATACGTGCTCCGATAATGGGATTTTGAAAACTGGAACAGGAATTTTCTGAATACCGCGACAGAAAAAAAACATGTCCCGGACAATGAAGCCGAATTTCCTTGTCAGAAAAAAAATTTTGGACACCGGAACTAAAAGTCTGTTTGCCAGCACTAGTATTTTCTCACATCTGCTTGAAAATTCTCTCATCAGCTGTTTTGGGTTGCTTTTACCCAACTCCACGGCTAAATGAAGAAGTTCCGCAGTTATTGAAAATTCGAGACAACTTAGTGCTTATTTTCATTAGTGTTATCACCTGTGAATAGTCTATATGTGTGCTGTTATGTATTATATCTTTCCAGTTATTCTTATCGATAACATTAAGCGCTTTTGCTATTGGAGCGCCTTTATCAATACATCGACATGTTGCGTGAGGATCCTGAAATTATAGTACGAAACTTTACAAAAAAGTGAATGCTTAGGGGTTTTTTTTTT